GTGAGCGAAAGAACGGCGACAGCATTGCAAGATACTGAAAGAGTCATTTAAAAGGCCCTGCTTTGAAAGACTGGACGAGTTTGCTCACCGTAGCGTTCACATAGAGCTCTTTGTTCTCTACAATACAAACCATGTCTGTTTCGATGGAAGGCTCTGTGAACGAATATTCGTACCTAGCTCGTCGCCTGAAATAAGGCTCGTTAGGCTCGATAGGAACAAAGGCTGAGCAGTCACTAAGTGGACCTCAGGATACGCCGGTGTGGAAACGTTTCACTCATTCAGGATTGCTAACTAGTATAGGACTTGTCTGGGTAGAGGCTCAGAGTGCACTCATACTTTGCGTCAGGGTTTTCATGCTAGCGTTTTCAGCGACTCCGAAGGTACAGGTATCGATCCTGCGAAATCAGGTGCACATAAAACGCTGCATCGATTCCTGTAGTTTTCCAGTCGCTGAAAGTGCTAGCGCACGCTGGCATACGCTCAGAAACCAGTCGCAAAGTATGAACGCACTCTTAAGCCACGGCGTTGGTGTCGCAGGCAGTGCGAGTGGAAGGAATTAGGCTACGCCAGTTTTCGCACTTTTTCTCCCGCCCTGTTTTCAACCAGAAGTAGTGAAGCAGCGAAAGTGCAAAATGCCTCTTCCCCCCCCCCGCTCCCCGTCTCCGAACTGCGCCATCGTTTTCGCTGAGGATGCACAGGGGCGTGTCAGGGGGTTACGTATAGCATTTTATCCGCACTCTATAAATTTTTGTAGCTTGCCCACTTCAACAGTTGCTGAAAAATGGTCTGGAACCGTGCCTCCAGCCTCCTCGCCTATATGCCCCACCGTCTGCAGCGAAAACCTCTGCGTTTACTCTACTCCCACATTTACCCTATTGCTCCCTACCACCATTACGGTGCAAGAACTAAGCACAGGACCGTATCCCAATCCAGTCGAGCTTCCATCTGTCTTATGCCGGCTCGCTGATAGCCAGCTGGGTCCGCACGTGTAATGGCAGGACTCCTGCATCGCCCCACCCCAAATCATTGTAACTTAATGGCAAGATAACCACTTTGGAGGCACCGCTGATGGAATTTGAAGGCGCGGCGCATCTCTTCCAGAAATTACCCAAGGTCTGGTGGGTTTTCTCTTTTCATTTTATCGCTTGTCTAGTCTGTACCGCTTCGGAACGTACCTGAATCCATAGATTTTCACGATGTCGATGTGCAGTTCAATGGTGAGAATAAGTGGTTTGTTATCGTTCTTAGAGCGCTGGAAGGTGCATTCAATGTCCTCCCATGGAACCATATCAGCCAATGTCTTTGACGCAAACGTGAATTCATATTCACGATACTGGAATCCATTTAAATAGCATAAAACTCCAAACAAATCTTCCTCGGTTTTTCATACTGTGGACCGTACATCTGGGTACGGGGACGAACACTGACTATGCGTCTTTAAAATTGATGAGGGCTAAGGCAGCGTACAGATGCGTCGACGCCCTGTAACGCGCGTCGACGCGCTATTACAGCAATGACGTCAAAATGGTGTAGAAAACAACGCAGTCGCATACAATTATCGATCGGCGCCAGAGCATAGAATAACAGTTTGGTCTCCCGGCAGGGTCAAGCATCACGTCGCAGAAAAACGGGGGATTGGTGCGACTCCCCCCCCCCCCTCAGTGACTGCGGAATATCTGCTGTGAAACTTCAGAATGTAGCTGTATATATTGTGTGTTCGAACACCAATCAATCGAACAAGGGTAATGAAGTTCGAAAGGGGTTGTCTCCTTAAAGTTTCGTAATGCAGGAAGTGAAAATCCGAAAACCTTCACAATGATGCCCTCCAAACAGAACAAACGAAGGCAAGGCACTAGGCTGCTGCAGCTGCGCCGCATATTGAGAATGGAGATTACTCGGCGGCGCGGTCCAGGGTACGAATCCCGGGCTGACTGCCACCTAGACCAACCTAGCTTTCTACCCCCAAGGAACGGTAAATTGGTACCAGATTCGTCTGGGAGGATAAAACACTGACTTGTACATCGGCTGGCCCCGCAAGTCATTGTATAGGCCACATCGCATTCAATAAGCCACTACGATTCTGAATGGAAGTAGAATGCGTGCCGCATCCCACAAAGGGATTGATCAACGGCGAAGACTTTATCTTCTTATTCTCTACTTCATTCAGAAATCATCTTTCGCAGAGCTGTGAGGACGATTCAAGTTGATGGTTGGGCTCTATACGAGAGACACTACAGGTTTCATCAAGCCTGCATGACGGCTTCTGGCCAGAAATTAAGCCGGAGAATTTTGGGCGACCACGAGTTCTTCATCTTTCGATAAGAATAGCTTCGTTCTGACATAAGGTAGAGCGCAGTTCCATAGGGGATCGAAAACTAGAAGGT